CCCAGCTCTTTCCTCTATTTCCCTTGATTCTCCTCCTGTCCCACTATCATGCTCCACAGGATTTTACGGGGTGGAGCCCTCGTGGCCTAGTGGTTACACGTTGGACTGCTTACCAACCAATCAGCTGTTGGAAGCCACCATTCCCTCCGAGGGGCAACGGTGAGGCTTCCTACAGAATTACAGTCACGTTAAACTTGCAGGAACAGTTCTTCTACCCTGTCCTGTAGGGTCTCTATGAGTTGCATCAACTCGATGGCAATAACTTTGGTTTTTGTTTGGAATTTTTTTCAAGTGGATTAACAGGCCTTTCTTTCTAGGTGTCTCTGGGTAGACTTGAACTTCCAACCCTTTGGTCGGCAGACAAACACATGAACCATTATTTTCACCCCTCAGAGAAGCCAAGGGTGCTCTCTGTTCTTATAGGGAGCCTGGAAAGGGGAGGCAGCTGGTCATCCAGCAGGAGGGTAAGTTGCTAGCTGGGCTTCCTCTCCAAGGGCCCTTTGAGAAACTTGCTACAAGTGTGTGGTGCCGTCAAAGATACGGGTAGTGGCAGGTCTGCTTATGTTGGTCCACTCGAAGTTTTCTGAGTTGTCCTTCTATCATCCATGAAAGCACAGACATTTACATATACATTTATATTTGCAGACATAGTGAACTGACCCTGCTCAGAACCAACCCTGTTCAAATAATCATAGCCTTTATAATCATCTATTCATTTCCTACTGCTGAGCTAACAAATTTAGTGACTTAAAACAGCACAAGTGTATTGCCATCCAGTTCTGGAGACCAGAGGTTCAAAATAAGTCTCACTGGGCTAAAGTCACAGTGAAAGAAGGCTGTATTGTTTCTGAAGGCACTACAAAAGGATCTACTTACTCCTCAAGGTTTCCAAATTTTAGAGGCTACCTACATTCTTTGACTCATGGCCTCTACTTCCATGCTCACTTCTTCTACTCTATCCTGCTTCCCTTTGGTGCTGAGATCCCTTCCAGCCCTGACATTCTAAGATTCTGAGTTCTGAAGCCTAAAATAAAGGGGGAAGCCACAGGTATGCTGAAGCTGCCCAGGAATCTTTCGAAGCATGAGGTCATCTCCCAGCCTCTCCTTCCTTGACTCAGAGTCAAACTCATAGCTACTCTATAGGGCAGAGTAGACCTGGCCCTGGAGCTTTTTACAGGAGTAGGCAGTCCTGTCTGTCTCCCACAGAGCAGCTGCTGGCCTGGCGGTTAATAACCCAATGTGTAAACCCTATACCACGAGGGCTGCTCCAAAATGATAGAAACCTTTTTATTAAAAATACAATAATTTGAAGCTATTTCTCAATGTAGCCTCCATCTTGCAGTATTTCTATCCCTCTAACCCTTCCCTGAAGAATTATGCTTTTCCTTAACTGTGTTAAAATGACTCTCATTTATATACACATATATTTTCATGTTCTTTGACAATGATGAGTCTTGTCAAACACTTTAACACATGGACAAAATCCGAGAACATTATGCTTAGCAAAGTTAGTCTCATAAAGATAAATAGTTTATGACACCATTATTTTAAAAGAAAATTTAAAAAATGTTTTTCACCTCAAGGGATAAGAAATTAAAGACGAGGGTGTGAGCTCAGGGGCGTGGGGTGGGAGGAGAGGGACCCACAGGCAACTATGGAGTGAAGGAGGGTGGGAAAAGGAAAAAGCTGCAGGAGGCGTTTAAGGGGATCCTGTTTCTGATGTGATTTGGGAGCTGGGCTGTGCAGCTATGCAGAATGTTTCTTTGTAAGTGTCAGAGTCCACAAACAAAAGGGAACAGCTACATGTAAATAAATAAAAACAAAATAAATTAAGTTAAAATTTAAAAGAGGGAGCGAGAAGGGTCACAGACTTAAAAGCCCTTCAGATCCCTTACCCATCAGACCTAAACGGTGGTCTTAGTGGCTATAAAAGGAGGAAAAGTTAAACTGAAACAGACTCGGATCCTTTAGTGACAAATACGTTTGTTGCAAACAAATACACAAACAAAAATGTGCTTTGAGCTTTGAGAATGGAAAATTTGGAGGAGCGAGATTGGAGTTAGAGGGTGGATGGGATATGGCTTGCCAGTGAAATGCTCAAAAGACATCCCTTGCTTGAGCAGGTCTTTTTGGAAAATGACGCTGAACAGCATAGGGGGCTGAAGTAGATAGGGACTGGAGAGGGCTGATTGGAGGGTCAGAACCATCTAACGCAGTGGTTCTCAACCTTCCTAATGCTGCGACCTTTGACTACACTTCCTCATGTGGTGGTGACCCTCCAGCCATCACACTATTTTCATTGCTACTTCCTCACTGTAAGTTTGCTACTGTTATGAATCGGGCAACCCACAGAATGAGAACCGCTGATCTAAGGGGTCGGTGAGGAATAAATGAATGCTGGACACTAAACTACAGTGTGTGTGTGTGTGTGTGTGTGTGTCTAAGGGTGAAAGCGCATAATCAGAAAAGAACATAGAAAATGTTTGCCTTGTTACCCACCAAGCCTTCGTAGCTATGATTGGCCATCACAGAATCATTGCCCGTAGTCTATTGGATAACAGAACTGTCAGTCTCCTTAGTGGTGTTAAACTGAGGGACTCCTGGGAGATGTTCTTTGGGGGGGCTGGCCTACCCTTTCTTGCTCGCTCAACAACAGGGAAGCTATCTTTCCTTGCCCTCCTACAATACTGCTCATCCTTCTGCCAGCTTGACTGGAACCCCACAGAGCTAGGGGAGGAGCCTCCCCTTCTCCACTGTTAGAAACCCAACTGCAGTTTTGCCCATTTTCTCTAGTTTCCCCTTTTATCATAGCATAATCTAGAAAAAAAATACACAGGAATGGGAATAGGAAGAAGGGGATTTTAGGGTGAATGAATATGCCACAATTAGAAAGTTCTCTAGTTTTAAAAATGTAATTAAAATGATGATAATAAAAGCTTTTGATGGTCTGCATGTCTCTGTTTACTGCTGATAAAATGTATTGGTCATCTTGGGGAAATGGGTCATTTCTAATCACCTTTTAAAAAAAATTATTTTATTGGGGGCTCGTACAATTCTTATCACAGTCCATACATACATCCATTGTGTCAAGCACATATGTACATGTGTTGCCCTCATCATTCTCAAAACATTTGCCTTCCACTTTAGCCCTTAATATCAGTTGCTCATTTCCCCCCTCCCTCCTCCCTCCCGCCTCTAATCACCTTTTGACTAAAAAACCAAACCAAAGTTAACCTAACAAAACCCAAACTCACTGCCATCAAGTCAGTTCTGACTCACAGTGGCCCTATAAGACAAAGGAGAACTGGCCCTGGGTGTTTCCAAGAGTGTAACTTTTTTACAGGAGCATCTGTCTCCCACGGATCAGCTGGTGGTTTTGAACTGTTGACCTTGTGGTTATCAGTCCAAAATGTCACCACTGTACCACCAGAGCTCCGATTTCGACTACCCAGGGAAGTCTTTATTTGGTTAGGACATAGTGTTGGGTTAATGCAGGTGCTTAGTGATCTGCTAATTTGAGGGTGAGAGGGAAGTGGAATCACTCATTGGGTTGCTATAGGTCAGAATTGACTCGATGCCAGCGAGCAGCTGCTTCAAGGAACCCTGCTGGTGCTGTGGGTTAGACATTGGGTTTCTAATTGCAAGAAAGGGAGTTCCAACCCACCTATCTGTCTGCTGGAGAAAGATGAGGCTGTCTGTTCCTATCAAGGTTAGAACTCTTAAGAAGCAATTCTACTCCATTCTCTAGGGTTGCTGTGAAGTGAAATCGACTAGATGGAAGTGGATCAGCTGCTTTGGGCCGAAGGTGACACTAGTGCTCGTCTTGAAGCTCCTCTGAAGAACTGGAATCAGCTGCAGCGACCAATAGAGAGGCATTCAAACCATGGATCAGAAGAGTAAACTCACACCTTGACCCAGCCCTCACTAGTCTTAGCATTCTGCCAAGAAATAACTGTGCTGTGAAGATCATGTTCACAGGCCTGTTGAGAGTAACAAAGGTTTTGGGTGAACCCTAAATTGGACAGGCTAGGACGCCAAGGACACAGGACTTATCTAGGCTGCAGATTCTTCCTATGTAAGAGAACCTAGCTGCAGCCACCTAGGTTGCTTCCAGCTCCAACACTGCATGGCTCCTAGTGAGAGTGTTGTTATGGCACTTGCTCATCACACACCTAGCAGCGTTCTCTGAGTCTGACGCTTAAGTTTGACCTCACACGTCCTGGGTGGGCACTTCTCAACTGGGTGGCAGTAGAAGGGGAAAGAGACGGGAGTGTTTATTCAGTCCCCTACCATTCTTAACTCTGGAACCAAGGGAAAACAATGGCCACCGTGAAGCCAGGACTAAGGAGGATTGAAGTGGTTGAGCAGAAGTTCAGAAAGCCAAGGGTACAAAGTGACAGAAGCCACGCCAATGGTGTCACCATCTTTGGGAGAGTATCCAAGATAATCCTCTTTCCTCCAGGAGGAAGAACATGTCCTTTCAGAATTTAAAAACATCAACCTAGTCCCTACCCTTCAACATTAGTTGAGAGTCCCTGGGTCCTACAGATGGTTAAGAGACTTGGTTACTATCCAAGAGGCCGGAGGCTTAAGTTCATGTAGAGATAGCACAGAAGAGAGGATTGGCAATCTATTAAAAAAAAAATCAGCCATTGAAAACCTTTTTGAGTATTGTTCTACTTCAATGGAAATGGGATCCCCGTGGCCTAGAATCAATTCAATGGCAACTAGTTGAAGCTTACTTGAAAGTGAGCATTTATGAGTTATGGGTGAAGCATGTAGCTCCTATTCTTTTTTTTTTTTCAGTGTGAATGAGATATTAAGACTGCTTTGAGACCCTATTGACCCAAGATAGGTAGTATGCACTCTTACAAAGACTAAAACAATTCATACTCCCAAAATAATGTTCACCACAAAATGAAAACATACTTCCATCCTGGGGCAGACAACTGTCACACTGAGCTCAATCTGTGCTACAGGGATGCCAGGGAAGTAAAGAAGGTGGCAGCGGTGGTGCTTGGTTGGTCCATCTCTTGAATTGTATTTGCTAGGAGTAGGAGACTCACTACCCCTGAAGGCCTAGTTACTGCAGAGTCCAGAGCAGGACTGTGATTGAACTCATCCTAGGATGCTCTTAAGAGCAACCTCATTTCTCGGGCCACTCTACATTTGAAGAAGGACCAGGCAACATGACTTCCTCTGAGAAGCCTTCAGATAACTTTGGAAGGCCCTCAGCATCCCTCATCTAGGCCACAGTGAGCAAGGCCTTCCTGGATCACATCCGGGAGATCTGATCCCTACTCTCACACCACTACTCTTCCTGTTTACTGTCTTTAGAGTGCTAACCATTTATCTATAGATTTCTTAATGACTATCTTCCTCATGGAAGCAGAGGCTCCAGGGGGGCAGTCACGACGTGTATTTCTAGTCACTCATGAATATTCTGCACTCTAATATACAATACCTGGGCATAACGTAGATAGATCCGCAAATCTTTCTGGAATGGATACATGATCACAGAAGGGACTTGGGATTATGAGAAGGTAGATCTAGGCCTCTCCACCACAGCCTCTCCTAGCCTTGGCTACAATCATTTGAAGACTTGAGCCAGAAGTCTGTCCACTCTTTGCTTCTGGGCTCAGACAAAATGAAACACAAAAAAGAAGAAAAATCTCAAATATTAACGGCTACTTTCAAATCAAGATCTTTTTTATTAAAATTCTAAGAGAAGCCTTTTGTTCACCATGTTGCCCACTATTTTCAGATTGTTCTGAAGAGGAAAATGAGAGGAGAGGAGTGATAGGAATCTGAATGTCAAGGGGAAAGTCTCCCCCAAAGTCCCGAGAGAGCAAAGTATGGCTGAGGCTCTGGTCTTTGGGTCTTATTCCTGGCTCAGGCCACTTACAGATGACCGTAGGAGGGCCACCCCCTCATGGATGTCATCAGCAACATCCTGAAGAATAGCTACCACCTCTTGGCATTGGGCATAACTGTCTCGGGCCACCTGGACCAGGGCTGCCATGTGGGCATCGTGTTGGTCTAGATGGCGCTGCAGCTGGGCAGCCGATTCTTGGGCCAGTTTGCTGGCCAGGTGCCGGTTCTCCGCCATCTCAGAGGCAATCGTGGCAACAGCGGGCTGGTGGCGCCACAGGCTCTGGGCCCTGGCCTGCAGCTGGTGGACTGGGCTGGCTCGTGCTCTGGGGGGGACTGTAGACACACTTACAACCCTGGGGGGTGGTGACAGGGTCTCTTTTTGAATCTGGTTTCTTCCTGGAGACTTGGGCCTCTTCTGAACTTCTGTTGGAGGCAAGAGTGGAAGCTTAGCTGCTCTCTTCATCCTGCTCTTTCCAGCTCCTGGTTTTAAGGTGGGAAAAAGATGGCCACGTGACCAGTTATCAACGACAATTAAACCAAGAGCCAGTCACAAGTCACTGGAAAGCCTCCAGGACTTGTGTCACCTAGGGCAAGGAACTTTCTTTGGTCCTAGTTGCCTCATCTGCAAAACGCCAGGGTTGGCAATGGCCTCCACTATTCCTTTCCGATTTAATGTGCTGCCTGTCACATCCTTAAGGAGTCTTCTAAGCATGGGGCCAAGTCAGTGGTTCAAATCCACCAGCTGCTCTGCAGGAGAAACATGAGGCTGCCTTCTCCCATAAAGATTTATAGTCCCGGACACTACAGAAGGCCACTATGAGTCAGCATAGAGTGCCTGTCACTGGGTATTCTAACACCCGTAGTGAAACCAGGCTTTTAATACATCCCAGAGCATCAGTTCCTTTGAGGGGTTTGACCCACCCACCACAGTTTTTGGCTTTATGACTTCCCACCCCACTCACCCCTACGACCTTGGAGCGTTGGTAGAACCCAGTTGCCCACTCACCTGGTTTAGTCCCTTGGGCAGCATAGCTCACTTCAGTCTCACTTGTCTGGTCAGCCTGGGCACCAGCTGGACTTTCAGGACTGAGCACATGAGGTGACTCAAACACTTCCACTCCCAG